AGTCCTATAGCACCTCGTAGCACTATAGCACCGGTGCTGTGGGACTTGTCAGGTATACAGTTAGCAAAATTTCGCGCTAAGGGGTGTGCATATAGTCATTCTCTTATCATGACAGTACCTACCACAAAACTAGTTCTTGGGGCCATAATCCATAGAAAGGGCCTCAGTTTTGTCTGGTTAGAATGGGTCCATGTTTCAATTGAGCAGGCTGCAAGATTCCAAGGTTAAGGAGGGGCGTGGTCTCAGGTTAGCGATCAGGTGACTTTGTTTGTGGTAAGACGGATCCCCTATTCTATTGAAAACGCTCAACCCCCCAAAACTTCGTCCATTTCACCTCACAATCAATTTTTCTTTCGAGAAGACATACCATTATAATGTCCTTCCACGAGTCCTGCGAGCTTATTCGGGTTGAAGTCCGCGGTGATGGTACATGGCTTCTTGCCGCCGCTGGAAATGGCCACAACGAAAACGTTCCCGCCGAGCTTAGACTTGACAACCATATCGGGAACTCGGATGGTAAGCCTCAGCTATTTTCGGTATACATACTAGGATGCTAACTCGAAATCTCTGAATAATTAGGTTACTTTACTTGGGAAGGTGAACGGTTTACCGAGTCCGCCGAGAATATCGATTTAAGTTTCCGCGATGATGGTGTTTGGTTGGAGGCAGATCTACCTGAATTTAATGGCGGTGAGAGAGGTCGCCAGGGAATCAACTTGTCCAAGCATATCGAGAACCAGGGTGGTAAGCTTGTGTTTGTTGGATTGTGAATGTGTCATGAAGCTGGGCTTCTGTATGTATAAATCCCTAGGTGGTCATTTAGTAGAAAGTGCCATGGAATTAAAAGTTTGGTTGCATAAACCTTAAGCCTTACGCCAAATTTAACCGTAGGTAAATAAGCAGGCAACATCATGGATGCCATTTGCCGCACTCTGTGGTTGTATTTGCCGGATTTTCAGTTGCAGAAAATTCTATAAATACACTGGCGCGTGCTGTCACAGGTAGCCAGGGCTTCAGAATGCTGAGCTAACAATGCCACAAGTGTAAGTAGCTTTACCCTCTCAAAATAAAAGGCAAACCTATAGATGACAGAATTTCTCGGCATGCTTAGATCTCATTCCTACCAAGGGCTTGATCATCCGGATAATTCGTGCCTGAATACACTTTTCTATTTTGGGAATAGTGCGCGGGAGTGCCACACGTCAAACCATTGAAACCCTGAAAATCATGCAAACCATACAAACTAACACGTTGATAGGACTGCTGCCTGACAGATCAGGCCCGCAATCGCGTCACGTGTAAGATCGAGTTTGAACCTCCCTCCCTCTCAAGGTTTCTTGTCCTCTTCACTTCCCACAAATAAATCAAATACACTACATTGATAGTTTTCCCAATGACTGGTACTATCCCCGCCCATCACCTCACCGGTCACAGAGGTACAGAGTAGTTTTTTTTTCATTCAAATAATTGATCGGAGCTACTATTTCGATTCTTGCACAAATTCAAAATACAGAAAAAAACAAAAACATACAACAGCATATACATGCTATTTAGTGTACTATTCCTATAGTATATTATTCAACACATACATCCAATTCTATCTCTTCAAAGAACAGGAACGTAATGCTAGAAGCAAATCATCTTGTATATAATAACAAAGTGTGGATACAAGACATCCCAAGTTGAAAAAAAAAAGAACAAAGATATATTCATCTATCAGGCGCTGGAGTAAGGAATCGAAAATCCAAAAGGACCAAAAGTAACATAAACCGGGTATATGCAAGACACATCTACAGCTTCGGCTTCTCGGCCTGGGCAATCAGGTCGGGCATGAGGAGGTCACGAAGCTCAGTGGCAGCCTCATTGAGGAAGTGGCTCATGCGTTCGGCGCCGAGACGCTTGCAGACGATGTTGAAGTTGAGGCTGGAAAGAAATAGTTAGAGATATGGACAAATGGAAAAAAAAGGGTGACAAGGGATGCTTGGTGCTTACCTGTTCTCGTTGATCATGTAGGCAATTCCGAAACCATCATCGATAACCTGGCTCCACCCGTATCCGTTGAAGTACTCGGAGCTCAGCTGGGAGGTGGAGAGGTACCAAGAGGAAGAGTAGGCGAATGCGGGATCCTGGTAGATCTCGGGCAGCTTCTCGCCGGGCTGGAGAAGTTTCTTCAGACCGAACAGGTGACGGTCGACACCGTGGCCGGAGCTAGCCTCCTGGGTGTACTTGGTGTGCTGGGCGAGGGCAGCGCGGAAGAGCTTGACGGTCTCCTCGCGGGAGGTGGTGTGGTCCTCGTGAGCCTTGCAGAAGGCGACGCTCTCGTCAGAGACACTGCGGGTAGTCTCTGTGCGGCCTTCGGCGTACTTGCGGGTAGAGGCGGACTCATAGGTAGGACGGTTCTTGCCGTACATCTTGAAGTAGGCCAGCTGGATGGTCATCTGGACGAAGGCGTCGGGGCTGCACTTGAACTTCTTGATCAGACCCTTGCCGTAGCCCTGGTAGGCTTGGACGACTAGTTCGTGGGAACCGATCTGCTTGCGGTGGTACACGGCTGCGACGTCGATGGCCTCATTGGCGGCGTCATCCAGCTTGAAGTTGATAGGCTTGGGGTCGGCGAGCTGGGAGCGCACGGACTGGGCGGAGAGGTCGATCTTCTTATTGAAGATGACATTGTTGATATAGTCGTTCAGGCGGTGGGTGGGAGTACCGTCCATCATGCTGTGCTCGCCTGTGAAACCAGCAGTACCATTGTCGTTGATAATGAACTGCAGAGGCTTGTCGAACCAGCGGTTGGAGCCATCGCCGTGCCAGTACTGCGAGCAGCGCTCAGCCAGAGTGACAGGACGGGCATCGTCCAAGCAGACCACGAAGCCAGCAGACTCAATATCCTGCAAGGCCAGCTCATTGGCAGGGTCAAGAGAAACAAGAGTCTTGCGAGCAGCAGTCCAGTGATCACGGTCGGCAACAGTCAGCACACCAACGGCCGGCGCAGGCTGTGCAACCTCGTAGATGCGCTGGAACTGCTTCTCCAACTCAGAGACATTGAGCTGCTGACCGTCTACGATGAGCGGGATCTTGAAGAACTGGTTCTTGCGCACCACGACAATGTGTTGGTTCTCAGCGGCGGGATACTTGCGAGGGAAATCCGAGCCCTCGGCAGGAATACGGCAGCAGTTGAACATGTACTGGTACGAGCTCATGGCCTGAGGCTCCTTGCGGAGGTACTCGGGTTCCAAAGAGCCATCATCGACCTTAGCCTTGAACTCGAGGGCAGCAGTGGTGATGGCGGCAGCGCGCTTAGCTGGGTTGCGACGCTCGCGATCGTCCCGGTAGGAGTAGAAGTAGGAGACGTAAGGGATGACGGGGTCACGGTAGGTGAGGTAGGCGGATTGGTTCCACCACTCGGCAAGCCAGTTCTTGATCTTAGGATCGGCGGCGCGAGCCAAGAGACGCTTCTGTAGAGACTCACCCTGACCACCGGGGCGGACGAATTCCTCTACGGCACTCTTGGTGCGCTCATACTCGGACTCGGAGACGACGGCGTGAACGGACTTGAGGTACCGACGGCTGGTCTCTTCTAAGGAGGGAACGGGCAGTTTGGGAAGAGAGTCTTCGAAACGAAGCATCTTGCCCTTAGAGAGGTCCTCCGTGTATCCTATTCTTCCGTTAGGGAGTCTATTTCTTATTTCGGCGTGGATGGGCTAGGGATAGCCTGCGTTGCGCCGGACACATGTGTTACTCACCCTCAGGGACGGAAGATACCGTTCGTCGGGGGGCCATTGTGAGAGTCTATATGCGAGTTAACGGATTGATTCCAGGATATTTCACTGTATTCCACAGCAATCGGCAGCATCTGTAATTAGAAGAGGACTTACGGAGCGGGTAAGGAGAGAGTTTGAAGGAAGGCGTTGCCTTGACAGGGTAGAAAGACGGCTTCGGGCAGAAGCAGTGAACATCCCTCTGGTTAAATGGAAAAAAAATTGTTTAGGGGTATAAAGAGAAGTGAACGTGAAGGTGAAGCTTAAAGAGAGAATTAAGAAGAGTTGGCCGAGTGACGCTCAGAAACACAGAAAGCCTCGGCTGGCGGGGAAGCCGGTAAAACGCGGTACCGGGGGGGGGGCACTAAGTACCTGTACATAGGTAGCCCTCGGTGTATCTCAGTCGGTCACGTCCGAGTTGTTTTTTTCCACGGAAAAGAGTAATAGGCGAAGAGATGAGGAGATAGAAGATCTAATGAGTAATTGGCTCCTTTATGTCTGCTATCTGGGTTCAACATTCTTATTGTATTGACTTGTGTTAGCTATATACTCCGTAGATGTATCTCAACTCGGTTTATAGGCCCCTGTATATATTACGGAAATACCAATACCTACTCCACCGATGAGCCTCGGTCCATTTTCTCGTTGATCTTCACAGTCACAAGGAAGAGATGTGGATATCACCTGAGAATATTGGAATGCGAATATGTCATTCTTAGTATTTCTAATATTGGAAATATGGAAAGATGGAAATATTTTAATAAAGGAGTAGGATTGTATAAAACATAGACAAAATGTACAAAATACAAAATACAGAATACACAAAACCCCCCCAAACTTCAATACTCCGGTTCTCCGGGCGATCACAATGCGGGGAGAGCTTCTAGCGTAAATGTACATAACATAGGGGACAGTCTCAACGCAGTTACAGAGTACATATGTAATAAGGGAAGAAATATAAAATAGCGCTAGATTATGTATAGATGGGAAAAATAAATCAAGGGAAATCTCCCTTTCATCCGATCCCGTTGACCCGGCCAATAACACAACAAATTTGAATAGGAAAATGACAAGAAAAAAAAAAAAAAGCCAGCCAACGCCATAGAATACTAGTTGACCCCAAAGTACACAGACTAGGGCCCACGGGGGAAAGGAAAAAAGAAAAAAAGAAAAAAAGCGCAAGTCATACAACGCATCTGTAGCCGATGCTTAGTACAACGTAAGTCAAGCTCAGACAGGCCATCAGGAGACTGGCTGCACAGCTGCCGGTTGATCCTGGCCATCGATAGCTCGAGGTACCTGTACCCCGCTGCGCCGTAGCTCATCCATTTTAGCCATAGCGGGCCCCGTGCAGATGCGACCGGTCTGCATAAGCGTGCGGAGACGTTTCCGACGGGCCTCGCCGCTGCGCTCTTCGCCACGAGCCACGCCCTCGTCCACCCAATCCACGGCGTGGACCTTGAAGCTCATGCCATCGTGGCGACCGTCCCATTTGCGGGACTTCAGCCCGAACATGAGAGTGCTGTCATACTGGGCCACGCGGGGAAGAACCAACAGGGTGATGTGCAAGTCCTTGTCGGTTGGGGGTATCGGTGGGAGGCGTGGGCCCTTGGTCGAGGAGTTGCCATCAGTAGTGGCTTCGGGTGGCGGTGCATGTTGGTAGGTATCTTTAATTTCGAGATCAAGCATTGACTCGTCCACGTCGTCGCCCCACGCACCGCGAATGAAGCCGGAGTGAATGGCAGCAGCGACAGGGTCTGAATCGTCTGTATACACGCCGGTACCCCAGAGGGCGCGCCGGGCGCAAATTTCTTCTCGGTGAGAGTGATTGATTCGGAAACGGGGGACTCGGACGGTAAATGTACAATTCTCTCGCTGTTCGAAGCGGGGAAGGGGTTGGGGGGTTGTGGTATATCCAAACTTGGAGCTATCCAAAGAGGACTTCGCAGTGGGAGTACTGATGCGAGGCGTGTAGAGCGTTGAGCCAAGGTGGTGTCGAGGAAGATGGGCCACACTTGAAAGCAACGGCTCCAGGTTCACGGTAGTACGAGGCTCGCGGATAGGAGATGCAGCCGGAATGGTGACTGGCCGAGGAGCATGGTGATGATGGTGATGGTGATGTGGGTGGTGATGCTGTGCGGCAGGAGGCTCCGCTGGGGATGTTCGATGGAAGAAGGTGGGACGTTGGAGGGAGCTCAGGGTAGCCGCCTCTTCGTCTGCCTTGTGGCGATGGTGGTGGTGGCTAGGTCAATGTTAGTATATAGATTATATAAAGGGTATCTGATTGGGTAGAACATACTGATGGTGATGGTGGTGGGAATGCCGAGAGCGGCGGGCGTTACGTGCTGATAGTAAGCCTCGGGCGTCATTGGCCTCAATTTCCATCTGCTCCTCGTCGCGCGACTTTCTTGACCGTCTGCCGGCTGCAGAGGATGGCCGGGCAAGCTTGGACGCTTCATCCATCCCTTCTCCATTCATCGAGCGACCTGTGAGACTATCCCGCTTGAAAGGACTAGTGCCCAACGGGGTTGATGGTCCGCTGCCACCAGTAGACGCAGTGACACCACCAACCCCGCTGCCAATACCTGAGAACACTCGCCCCAATTCATTTTTGATAGCCGGTTCTCCAGCGGGACCAATGTATGGAGCTTGGGCGCCTTGTACAGCTTGGGGAAGGGGCGATGCACGGCCACCGCGTTTCCCATCAACACCAACAGCCAGTAGACTGCGATGATGGAGCAGCTCATCGCTTCCTTTGCGTCGTCCCTCATCAGCTAGGGCTGCTAGACCCGATGATGCGGCAGCTGTCGATGCGGTGATAGTAGGGGTTGATCCTATGCGGGGAGGCTGCCCTTGATGTCTGAGATATGGATCATGTGACGGCGGAGGAGTGGGTTGATTGTTTCGAGACTGAAGAGAGATCTGAGGCTGTCTATTGCCACCCGGTTGCGACCCAAGTGATTTGGTGTAGCTCTGAATGGCCCCAAACCCGAAACCCGACCCGTGCTCGGGTGCAGGGAAGCGCTTACTTTCCGGCGATGGAGGGTGCGACCGACCGTGATCCCATGTAGAGCCACCCTGGTGACGATCGATCGGCTCGCGTTCACCGTAGTGGGAGCCATACCGATATGATCCAGGCTGGTTCAACTTGGCATCTGACCCATGGGTTGGAGCTCGTTCTCGCTCCCGCTGCGCAGTATCCTCCGAGCGCCGCTCGCCAAATATGTTTGCAAACCGACCATGCTGTGGATCATGACTTCCGTACGACCCAGATGCAGGCCGAGGGCCGGACTCGAAGGGGCGATCCGCGGCCCCTCCGGGCTGGGAGATCGGACTGTAGCCGGGGGGTCGTGTGGGTGCGTCTGCATGGGGCGGCTGACTACTGGGCCGAGTGATCGGACCGTTGAGACTCATGCGACGAGGTTCAGTGTACGGTGGCTCTGCCGTGGAGATTCGAGGCGAAGGGTGCGTCGAGTGCGGCTTCTCGGGATACTGCGAGAGCGACGAGCGTGTCAAGCCCCCGAATACCGACTGCTCTGCTCCCAGACTCGAGCCTCCACCGGACCCAGACCGGTATGTACGGGCGCCTTGAGGCTTGGAAAATGGCTTCTCCGGTGTATGTGAACGACGGAAGAAAGAGTTATCGAGCGGTGACGGTCTTGCTGGGGCCGTGGGTGGAGACATGGCTGCAGAGGATGATGATGGGGGCGCGTTACCGAATATCGACGATGCAGGTGGTCGCGAAAAGAACGGCGCAGATTCTCGTGCAGGTTCTCGCGCCGCCCGATCTGGGTCCGACCCTAACATAGCGGAAATTGACATGCTGCTGCCCGGTCGGTGTGCCTGACCGCCAGGTAAATCGCGCGACATTAAAGGTCCTCCAGGCGCGTGGGTTGATTGCGCTCGCGAGGAATATGTGTGTGGAGGGGATGGGGGTGGCATTTGGCGATTTCCGAACGCGGGTGGTGCGGACTGTTCGTTTGGACCTATCAGACGGATTCAAGTTAGCAAATGCTTCTTGATACAGTGAGAGGATTCCAGGATGACCGCGCATGTCCCGATCGGATGAGTGACGAAATTGATGTATCGCAACAAGGACGGTTGCACGGGGCTCTCGGGCCCCCAAGTCAGATGCTCACCAGAAAATCCAGGACTCCCACTGCTGCCCTGGGAAGTACGACGCGCTGTTTCTTGTTGTGATGGGGTATGGTTCATAACGGAAGCACCTAAGAGCCCTGTGAACGAGTGAGCAACAGTTCAAAAGGGAAAGCAAGGGCCAGATCGAGGAGAACCCGTGACTCCGGAAGCTCCCACACTAGTCCCAAAAGGGCAGGGGCTCCTCTGGATACGCTAGACCCGACCTGGACTAGCGCTCCCGAGCTGTCGTCCAGTCGATCTGCGCCACCGGGGGAAAATCCATCAGGGGCAGTGTGTTGGGGCAAGAAAAGAGGGGGAAGTGTTGGGTAGGATTTGATGTGTCGCGTGGCTTTGACCATTTGAATCAGATGGCTATAGAAACCCATTTCTTCGGTCGCGCATACTCAGAAAGGGGACTGCAACAAGCTGACAAAGTGGAGGTCAACCACGGCACAAGTCCGATCCTTGGAATCCTCAATCTGGGGCATCGGAACCATCTGGGCAGAGGGGAAGTGAACACAAACAGTAGAGAGATCGCCTACCTTCACGATATCGAACGGCCTGAGGTTGTGAATTATTCCTGCGATGCGTTTGTTCATGATTCCTCGTCTCGAGACTCCCATGCCGACGGTGTGCTTGTGTTGGGCCATTCCTCGGAAAGTATGCGCTGGAAGTATCTCCACGAGAAGTATTCGACGTCCGTGAAGTGGTTGACTGGTAGAGCTGTGACGGAGAGGGTGTAGGGTTTGAAGAGGGAGAAGGGTATGGGCGAGGCTTGTTAGTCTCTTGACGAGACTCGGTAAAAGGCGCAGCGAACTGTGGATCGCGAGGTTCTTGCGAGGCCCCCAAAGGCGAGGGCCGTGGCGGGTATGAGTGTTGTAGTCGCCGATAGTCCATGTTCAACACTGTATTTGGTAGCCACTAGGGTAAGATATAGGTAGGAAGAAAAGTATAGGAGAATAAAATAGCGGTGGAACAGTGAAATGCAGAAGAAAAGAGAAAACGGAAATGGGCCAGAGCTGCAGGATCAGCGGTTGATCGCGCGACCCGGATGATAGCACAATGGGAACGTGCAGAAATAGGGCATTTAGGTGAAAATGGGTGGAAATGTATCAAGAATCCACAATCAACAATCAACCATCAGCAATCAATTCACTAAGATCCCACTTTTAGCGAAATTTCTTCCCAAAGTTGGGGGGAAACGGAGAAAAAACGGTGAAGCGATGACGGTGTCTTTAGCGTGGGCCTCGGAGCCAAGACCTTTTTTTCTTGCATGCGGGGATTGTGTACATTTTTTTTCGGTATATAGATGGGTGTGGATACATTGGATATGCATATGTTGTAGATTAATAAAATATATATATATATGTAGAAAGAATACAAGAGTTACATTTACAATTGGAAAATATCTTCTGTTTATTTTTAATTTTTAATTTTTTTTTTCGCACTCAGGATTCATGCCCAACCCACATGCCTCTATTCTCTAAATCCTGGAGTTTATGTCTTGTCTTACCTGTTCCTTGTGTACCGGGATGTGTGCTAGGCCTGTTTGGAAACTTGCATATGCAGGAAATATGTTAGGATGACCTTGTTTGGGCATGAAATGTGGAAAATACCCTATTTTACTAGGCTTTGGGTATACTTCATAAAATGTAACCTCTCACCCCTTCAACCTGACCCGCTTATCCAGATATACCTTAATATATCTTAATATACCGAGGTACTAAATGCAAAGATAATACACAAAAAAGAACCAATCAGAGACACTCAAACGTCATAGGAGACACAATATTCAACCCTTGACTGTGGAACCTCACTCTTACTTCAATTGTTAGCTATGGCGCGCTGGGGGTACTCAAGCAAGTAATTGATGGGGGGGATTCGCCACTAGTGAAGATGAAGAAGCAATATAGGAAGGCACCCATAAAGTTACCAATTAGAGCTACAACATATTAAGGGTGACTGAAAAGAGAGTTAGGGTATCCGAGAGCCAGAAGCGCAAGCCGAGGATCAAAGTTGAGTACCACTCCAGTTTAGGAGGCAAAGCACATGCTTAAACAAATAATGGCCAAGCCAATAATCAGCGAGTTTATATCAGCACTAGGTGGAGCATTGTGGTCAAAATTGAGAAGGCCATGCATGAAGCTTGGGGGTTAAAAAATTCCAGCTGGGCCAGCAATGCGATCAGCGCATCACCAAGAGCTAGAATGGTGGTGATCAAAAAGGCTGTACCAAAGACTAGTTGAAGAACGCCGCCGTGGACCCAAACCACACCTCACGCGGACTTATCAATACCCCCATTCCCAACGGGGATTCTCATGGGTGAGGTATAATCTGCGTCGCTGGTAGCTCGGATTCGGGCTGGCGACCATGGCTGAGCATCGGACGGGAAGAGACGTTAGATGATAATTTCTTTCAGGTAGTTGCTTCGACTATCCCCCGTCCATAATGACTCTGATTTGAGAGGTTCTACCCACACGATTGGGGAAAGTTGATGGAAGGGGTTTTTGCTAAGAAGGAACTGAACAAAGCAAGGAAAAAGGTTGAAGAGACAACTCACCAATTTATTCCAACCCATCTTACTTCATACACCATTTGAGCCATGGCCGAAGGGTCTTCATTAAACTCCTCAATTGGTATGTAGGATGAATCATACTCTTAGCATGTCAGAATCTCTCGATTAATGAGTTGTTTTAGTGTTCGATATCATTTGATAGTTTCTGCTCTAGTCCATGTGAACACCTCAAAGCTCGCGTCATTGAACTGTTTCTAGTGAGTTGACACTGCCAAGTATCTCTGTCGTGAGAATCGCATTACTTGCTTTTGTAAGCACCTGCTGCGACGTTGCATATATTTTGTGAGGGATGGGCCTGCATGTCATCTTGCGTTGTTTTTTTTATCTTATCAAATCGGGCCAATTGACGTGTCCGATTGGCATGCAGCTGTGGATTTCAAGTGTCCAAATCTCGGGATTCCTGCCTGTTCTGTGGATTATCCTGTCTGATCTTGACTGGGATCTCACAGGAGACCGTTGAGATTTATATCAATTCTATTCATATGCATCCATAAATCATTTAAAGTGTGGTAATTTGCCCTAGATATAGTTTACATCATGGCCGATCGAACAGTTGTTCCAATTAATATCACGCGCCTACGCGAGATTGCAGGTTGAGAGAGAGTATTCCAAAGTGGATCACCCCTTATCAACCTCCTTGCTGTGGATGGGAAGCTGCAGATGTGTATTAAAAGCACAAACTCCATATTAGAAACTGAGGATATCATTCACATTATTAAAAGAAACTCAAATTGGGTATCACAGAAGTCAACAACACTCATACTACACACACCGCCGATAGATGTCGAAGGCCATCCTTCGTAAAATCACTCGTTGTAAACCTTCCTTCTGGTACAGCAGACCAGAAGACGTCAGCATACGAATGATTGACACAGTCACTCTCAGGGAATGCCTCCCCAGTGACCACGACCGTCACAGGGCGCTGAACAACGTTCTGCCCATTCCAATGGGACAGATACCCCCTCTGCCGGAGAGTATCGAGTTGTTCTACGAGATACGGGTACAGTTCATGAAGCGATGTCTTGGCATCAAGCATCAAAAGGAAAGTCCCAGCCAGGCCAGCATCAAAGCTGCTTGGAATTTCGGGGTTAAGAGATGCCCGGGCGGTAGCATCATTCTCAGGTTCAAGTTTCGCCAGAAGAGAGTCAAGACCGAGTCGCTTCAGGAGGTCCTCGGGCTCGGTCTCCGCAACTGCATTTCCAATCTGCAACTTCCCGTTGTGCATCCAGACCGCCGTTCGGAGGCCATCACATCTTTCGTCGAGAGACGACTTGAGTGCATGTGGTCGGGTGTCTAGTGTAGGGAATGTGCACGCACCACTCTGGGGGTGAATCTGGGCGTGTGGTATGGATGCATGAGGCGCGAGTATCCGTTTGAGATTGATTGGGAGAAATCGGAGACATTGGAATGCGGCTCTGGTAAAAGAATGTTGTCAGATTGGTGTATCCCGGAGACCACGACGTTGTAGATATTGCGATAATACTTACAGACATCCGAGGATAAGGCATCCAGCGCGGAAGAGAATCGCCCTTCGCTTTCCGATAGATTCGTAGTATTCATCGAGATAAAGCGACAAGCCTGGAATGCACTCTGTCGGATAGGATCGTAGGGGGTGATCATCAAGAAGCCATGGATCGTATTCAAATTGGGTGTTGGACTCAAGATCTAAACACCCCTTTGAAGACTCCATGGCTTTAGTTTGCTCGTCAGATGAAATAACAGCTTCCATAGCGAGCTTCAAGGGTGAAAGCTCCTAGGTGCGATCTAGGTCGTATAAGGGGGGGTTACAGAGTGCCAAGTGCTCAAAAGCCACAGGTGCGAGGTACATAGTATAAATATGATAAGCTCAAGGTATCCAAGACAAAGGGACATCGCGCAATTGTGCGGTGAATTGCGTGAAGCACGCAATCTCGATTGGCGATTGCATTTGGATGATCGTCGGACGAAGGTGAGGGTGAGGTCTCGTGCTAGACTCACATTTTTCGATCTAAGAAACTATGATCTTATAAAAAGTAATGTATTCATTCGCACGGAGTACATGCGCAATACGTCGTACATATGTATATATAGGGGTTGCACAGAAAAGAAAAGCTCGGGAGTATCTCACAACTCGCCAATGCGCCAAGACGCCAAGACCAGGCGCATTTAATCTCGCTCGATGTAATTTTTGGAGTTCAGTAGGGTATTTATTTAGGAAAATGTGAACGTAACTGCATTGATGGTTAACAGCTACAAATCACGAAGAAATGTGATAGCAACATGGCATCTCACAGAAAAGTCTGGTGCAAGGGAAACTAGCAGTACCTTAGCCCTTTATATTTACGTCCTCATGTTCCAACTGGACCATTTCCTCCTCATCCCGGGGAACCACTGATTTGGCATAGGCTGACTCTTCCTTCGCCTCTGCTCGATACCGTTGTATTCTAGCTACCGACGGTTGACGTCGCCGTTCTCTACTATCCCTATTTCGGTACGACCCCGCGTGTGCTGCTGTTGCAGGGGGGGTCTGGAGCGAATTGGCGGCTGGGTACGAGTCAACGGTGAGCGTAATGTTGGCCGGGAAATACCCGAACGCGCGGCTCCGGGGGCGGGGGGCATCCAGTTGGGTCCATGTCACACTCTGAGCGAACAGGTTGAATCTACTTGGTCATTGGTCAAATCACCGTCTCAATGGTAGGTCACGGCTATCAGATTCAGAGGTACTGTCGACCTCCATCGGGTCAGCAAGCGGGATGGTATTGCTTGAAGTGCCGGGGGCTACAATTGGGAGTGGAGAATTTAGCGATCACCCTGGGCCGTGATCAATCGGAGAACGCCACCAAAGACGTTAGTGCAATTCGATCTTCCTTCAATCTTCTTGATTAAATACATGATCGGGCCAAAGGCGCATGTTGCCAACAACGGCGAGGCCCAAAGCGATGTTGAGTCTCTCCTTGTCGGCAATGAGCTGAACCTCAGCAACTTCGTTGGGCTTCGTCAGCAAGACGATCACGACGGTACCTCTTGGCGCTACGCCGTATCAACACTATGTCGACAGTCGGATTGTTCCGATAAAAACAGCTGCACTTGGTTTCCGCCACAGTGCGGTTACTAGGCTCCCCTGAGCTTTGTCGGGGCTGATGATCATGACATCAGACGGATTAATCTGCTGTCCTTCTTGGATAGACTCGATATTGTACAGATTCTTCAGTAGCCTTTGCATAGTTTGGATCTACACACTGGATGACCACCAAGGCCCATTGTCTTGGCGAGATGCGCCACTGTCCACAAAGAGAAAGATACTTTGACTTCCAGGGGCAACCGCAGGCACTGTCCCTTCGATCGGTCAGACTTGTGATGGAGCCCCGATATAGACTGGCCTTTTGGTTGTTACTTTTGGCTCGGACCGCCGATATGTGGTATGATGGTCTGCGAAAGCGAGCAACCCGTCCAAACTAAGTTCTCAGGCAAGTAATACAATTCATCGCCACTATAACAGCCCGAGTGAGGTTGGCAACGCTTTAATTCGAGGTAACAGTGAGTAACACCGCGATATGAAGGGCCATCATGAACCATAATTATGGCTGTTGTCGTCTTGCCTGTTCCAGGAGGACTTTGTATGTGACCGAAACCGACCTTGATAGCGATTGTAGACCCAGGGAATGTCTCTTGTTGGTTTGGATTGAGGTGGTAGAAGTCCTAGACATATCGGGTGTGGCCCTCGCAAACTGTGATTCTGATACACTGCCTCATACTCTCATCCTTCAAACGGCAGTCAACAAGTTCCATCGCAATTATTTATGCCTATACTAACATCTGATATAGCTATATGTAGGTCGTCTAATAGCTGGTAGTTAAGCATCTGAAATTCGATTCCCGCTCATAGTCTTGCTTGCGGTTTCCCAGCCCCGGGGGTGCTATCGAATATCTTGTTCTGACGACTCTCAAGTCGGGACTGAGTAGACTCAAACAGTCGCGGGAGTCCAGTTTGTGCAAAATCAACATCCTTAAGAACCATTTTTGCCAAGCCCTCCGCCGCCAGGAAGATTTGGGGCATTCCATGTCCCGTGAACCCAGCGATGATGTATTGATCCTTCTGTCCTGGGACATGACCAACATGCGGTAGTCCATCTGAAGAGTAGCCCATAACTATTAAAAAATTGAGTCAGATTGGTGGTGAGCGTAGGGATGTCATAGATCAAGTAACGTACTGCCTGTCCAGACTCTGTCCGTATAAGCGTGACTATTCTCCCAACCGACGAAGTTCCGCTGCATATAATTATCCCAGTATCGGACAGCAGGATCAAGTACCAGGCTATCATCACTGACATTGTACCAGCTGTCTAGATCATTGATAAAAGCCGGGCGAGCACCGCCGACGATTATACTCCCATCGGGACGTGGGATGAGGTAGTCATAATTCCAATTATTCCAGCGCAAGGTATAAGTACTCGTCAGACGAGGAGCGGTGGTACCTGGGGGAGCAATGATTCGACTGCATGTTCCTCGGACGGGGATGATCTTCTCCTTATATTGAGGGGCCAGAGCCGAAGTATAGGCATTTGTTGCTAAAACCACTGTCCTGGCCGCAATGGAGCCTCGGGCAGTATTCACTGTCCAGGAATGACTCGATGTCGAGGCAGTAGATTGTGTCATTCCAGATACTGGGGTATGCGTTTGTAGATTTACACCTTGCGCAATTGCCTTTTCCAAAAGGTGCAGCACGAACTTGTATGGCCAAATGTGACCGGCATCATATGTGAAACAGCCCTGTGCACCTCTGACTCCAGAGAACTGAGGTATTCTTGGTTAGTGCATCCACATACGGGGTTTCAAATATGCGCTCACCTTCTCTGCCTCATTACTGGGGATATATTTTGCGTTTTTTGTGGCTTCACATCCCTTCTCGATCAATCCTTCATATCCCTTCTTGAGATTTGCGCTATGACTCTGAGACAGCTGAACATCGATAGCTTTTGTCACCGAGTAGTCACAGTCAATTTTCTCTCTCTCGATGAACTCTTTGAGAAATGAAACATGTTTAGCCTCGAAAGCAGCAACCTCAGCAGCAGCTTCAACGCCATGGTCAGCGGCCAAGCCAGCGATACCATTATAAACATCAGGTTTCATGTGTCCTCCTATCATAAGCAGAAAGGATCATTTAGTGAGGTTCCTGATTTGTGACTATTCCAATCTTACCATTTCGACCAGTGGCACCGGAACAAGCCTGTCGCGCCTCCAAAATCATAATCGAAGGCGGCTTCGACCCGGGGCTAATTTGGGCCAGGATATGGTGCACGACAGAAGCGCCTGCATATCCACCTCCTATAACGACGATATCGCACTCCTGAGGGAGAGATTCGGTAGATCGATGGCTGTCTAGAAAGTGAGGCTCTGTCCGCCAGAATGACGTCATCCCATTTGGGACCGGGGTATGTTTTGCTTCCATTTTGGCGACTCCAAGACTATTAGTGGGCTTGGAAACTTAAATGAATTGGAATAATTTATTGGCATTTGGAGACTAGCGAGTTGTCTGCTCTCCCGGCGGCTTTTCCACCGGGAACTTTCCCGGTCCACCCCGATAAGTAACGACGCTAGGCCTACAGCATACAGCCCTGGAGGGGTACAGGGCAGTGATAACGATGTGGGGGTATCAGATAATTTGAGGGGTTCACTTGAATTATTCGAAATTAGAGAGCCAAAGAGGAAAATGAGTGTGAAATTAAATCAACATTATCAATAGAAGAGTCGAAGTTGGAAATCCGTTACTGTGAGAACAAGAATATAGCATTCCTGGACCGTAAACAAATATCTTGGCTTTTGTTATGATTTAATGGTTTAATGGTAGAATGATGTATTACTTCCAACATGTGCAAGTGTGTGGGAGAGTCAATATGTTTGATAAACGTATGGTATTCAAATTGATGTAAGACTAATTGCAAAACCTCAAGATGACGCCTGGTGGGCAATGATCTTGTCCGCCATCCCTGGCAAAGTATCATCCATAACATCCATGTCTCCAAAGAGTTCTGACAGGGACTCCTTCTCCCACACAGTGCAGTATGCCCCCTTAAATCTGTAGAAGAAAAGTGTCAGCAACAGCCATTGGCAACTCATGAATCAAGGATAAGAGACATACCCAGCCTTCCTCGCTGCGGAGACATCCCACATATGCGCGGCCGCAAACCAAGGCGTCTTCCCATCATTCTCTGACTTCAACTTCTCCAACAAAGGGCGATAAGCTGCCAAGTCAGGCTTACCGACCCCGACATCATCACAAGAGAGCAAGTTCTCCGCAGGCAGCTCAACACCCGCGTTCTTGAAGTAGCCCCCAACACGATTGATATCAGCCGCGGTGAAAGCCCAAACTGTAAAGCCGGCGTCACGAAGCTTCTGGACACACTCCGCCGCATCAGGACGGAATTTGAGAAGTTGGTATTCCGCCATAATATACTCTAGATCTTCGGGTGAAGCCCAGGTGCGCGGCTCAGCGATACCGGCCATCCAGAGCATGCGATAGAAAAGGGCGCGGAAGACATTGGCGAAGGGGACATAGCTCTGTGCAAGACTCAGATTGGTGTACTCGCGCTCAGCTGCTTCCATCCAGGTAAATCCCAGTAGACGGGGCTTGATTCCCTCTGCGCGCAATCGATCTCCTAGACGGGCATCAATGGCGTCGAAAACATGATCGTAGGAGACGAGGGTGCCGACAATGTCGAAGACAACATGCTTAGAGGAGGACATGGTTGGGTCTTGTTTCTGGAGACGGTTATCGAGACTTGGAGAAAAATATATCAATCGCTATCCTCAAGCACCTTTCCAAGGTTGGTAAGAGAAAGGATCTTGGTTTATCTTTAGAAAGATAAAGAAAGACAGGGAGACAGATCAGATAAGTAATCATGAGCGAGTTGCCCTTGCTGAACTTATCTTTGACTCATGGAACTATGCATCATGCTTGTAGTACCCCGCACCGATTATGCGGGGGCTCATCAGATTGTGGAACCGTCAGTGTAGATGATAGTTAGAAACTGCTGGAATTACGAGTATGTTACTATTTACAAATGCTTTAATTTATGGTCTTCGTACATTCAAGATCCATGGCATCTAAAGATTGTGGTCTGTAACGAGTTTGTGAAGCTATCTATCAATGATCTGTCTCCAGAGGTTTGAATGTCGTATATCTTCTTCTCGAGACACAGACTGCCAATTTCTTCCTTGGAAACTCGTTTGACCTCTGCGATACCCCTGGTAGTGCATATCACAACCCTAAACACACTAGCCGTCTCAAGTGCAGTGCCGGCGGGAAGTTAATTGCTCCCACCGGAAAGGTGAATGCGTCGAATGGGAGATACCAGAGATAACGATCAAGATAGCGATAAGGATACCATTACAAGGTTGACACTGGTAACTGAATCTCAGATAAATGGACACATGGACACATAGTCAGCTTCCTGTAGTTACAAACACAGCTACGACCCACACAGTCAGCATGAACGAACCTCCAATGCAAACCACGAAGGACGCAACCGATCTCAAAACAAGCGAGACAAATGACATAGAACGCTCGGCGAGCTCAGAAACTGAGCGTCATGGTAGCACTGTCGTTATATCTGCGTCGGACGATGCTGGGTATCATCGTTCTTTGACGAGACGCCAGATCATGATGATGACTTTTGGAGCCGGTATCGGCACTGGTCTCTGGGTGGGAACTGGACAAGCATTGCACTATGGTAAGCAGTGAAGCCTCGATATGTTCTCCAAGGTGGAAATATTGACATTGTATAGCTGGTCCTGCTGGTACAGCAATAACCTATACAATCACAGCGTAGGTTATTCCAGAACCCTCTGTTGTCGTGCTCTTGTGACTAACACCATCTGCGAAGGATGATCGTGTATGCCCAATACTCTTCAATCGGTGAGATGACTACATACAAGCCTATTCACGGTGGCTTTATCCGACAATGCGCTGAATATGTGGATCCGGCGTTCGGCTTTGCGATTGGTGTCAACTTCTGGTTTGCAGTATGTCGGACTACCAAAATATGAAGATCGTGTGTACTGACGCAGGATAAAGTGGGTGATGATTATACCAGCAGAGATAACAGCGGCGATATCCGTTCTGAAATATTGGCCACAGACAGACGTGGTGCCACTCGCTGCATTTATCACTATATTTCTGGTAATCTTCGCCCTCGCAAACATGTTTCACGTGCGAGTCTATGGCTATATTGAGTATTATATGTCCTTCGTGAAGTGTGCTGCAATTGTCTTGATGATATTCTTTATGTTCATCATGACATCGGGAGGAATACCCGCAACAAACGGCCCAATCGAGTTCCGATACTGGAAGAACCCTGGCGCTTTCAACAATGGAATTAAGGGTATTTCTAAAGCGTTCGTACAGGCAGCCTTTAGTTTCGGCGGTGGTATGATGTCCGAGCACACATCTGAGGAGAATATACTGACTGGATATAGGTGAGCATATCGCTGTTATAGCTGGCGAAGTAGTCAATCCCCGTCGCACAATCAAGAAAACAGTTCGGCCCGTTTTTTGGAGAATGTTTACCTTCTTCGTGGTTAATATCTGGCTCGTCGGAATGTGTGTGCCATCTAATGACACCGATCTTGTCAACGCCAGCGGGACTATGGGAAGCCCCTTTGTCATTGCAATCAGGCGGGCAGATGTTTACGGTCTGGCACACGCCATCAACGGGTTTATCTTCCTTAGTGTTATCAGCTGTGGCATTACCAGTGTTTATATCGCAAGTCGAAGTTTGACAGCACTGTCTGACCTGCAGATCATCCATCCGTTCTTCGGAAGAAAAGACTCACAGGGTCGGCCCTATGTGTCCCTCATTATCAGTTTGGGACTTGGTGGTGGGTTAGGCTATCTTAACTGCAACAGCGTGGGCACTTTGGTGTATAGTTGGTTTTCTGCCTTGGTAAGTACATCAGAAAAAACAGTTGTGTTTATTGAAGAGTGATTAACAATTTGATTTAGGTGGCAATTGCAACACTCTTCCAATGGGGCTCAATCTATATTGCTCATCTTCGCTTCCGGCAAGGTCTTCGAGCCCAAGGCAAGGATCTAAGCACGCTCCCATTCAAAGGTCTTCTTACCCCATGGGCGCAGTACTTCGGTCTCATCATTGTGCTGTTTGTCTTTGGTTGTGAATTCTACCTGGCTTGCTGGCCGTTCGGAGGAAAGGGTTCCGCGAAAAGCTTCTTCTCTTCTTACCTCGCAGCCCCGTTGTTCTTCTTTGATTACTTTGTGTACAAGGTGAGTGCTTCAAAGTTGTGCTTGGAGACCGGAAATGTCTGACATCAGCAGTGGTATTTCAAAACAAAGATAGTCAGGCCAGTCGACATGGACTTCGGTCCTGCCAGAGCCTTTGATGAGCAGGATCTTATCAATGCTATTGCTACCGAAGATGCGGAGCGGGATCCAGAGAAGAACAAGCGCGAAACTTGGACAAAGCGTGTTCTGTACATGGTTCTTGGATAAGGGAAGCAATGACCAAAGATCTTAGTTATGTACCTCAATATGAAATTATTTTGACAGAGATGAAAGATTATACGTATCGAACTCGAAATCACCATTAGACCAATCAGGATCAAAGAAGGCCGTCATATCGTTCAGCTCCGGATTTGCATAACCTTCTGTACCAGGCGTGAGATGCGATAACGGACTAAAAGAAGACAGCTCTACATTCCCACTTGCAGATTTGTCCTTCTTTAGTGACTGCGTCCAGTCTTTGAATTTTGAATAGGCAGAGACAGAACTCTGGTCGTTTTGCGGCTGCAAAATGGAATCTTCTTCGGGAATGGTTAGAAGCTGGCTGATAGCTGCTTCGATAGACTCGAGGTATGATATCTCGGATTCTGAAGAGCTCCCTCCAACCATCTGACGTATGAGGCCCATTCCACGGTGCAGCCCATCTTGGAGCCTCTGTGACTTCCCCGAGTTGAGGCTTTCTGCAAGGATGACCAGAATAGCCGCACGACAAGCACCAAATTCATTGTAAGAAGCACGACAGAGACCGACATGGTCAGATAATGATTGTAGAGTGTTAAGAATGTCCAAAGCACTCGATACGCAGTCGTCCACCAAGACTGACCGACGCGTCCGTCCGGGATCATGATCTGCACCAATTATAGGTTCACTTGGCTTTTTTCTGTCATCAACAAATATGAAGGCACGGCCCATGTAGACATATATAAGCAGATAGCAGAGTCTGAGATGTGAGTTTTGTCGGAAATTCGGACCTTGCGAGCATAAGTCTCGACATTCTTCAGTGGCTGGGAGTGAATCCCACCATTGCTTGATACTCGCCCTTAAACGTAAGAGCCGCTCTGAATATTCAGACAGAAGTCTTTTCGGGCATCTTTTGAATTGTGTCCTATGAAGTATCAGTCTGTATTTGATGGACTGTTCAACATTTTGAGCCACTTACAGTGTTTCGGAAATCTCTCCCAAGTATGAAATCAATGTATGGAACGCCATTAGGTTGGCAAATCGTGGTGACTCAAAGGTAGAACAGTCCCTTGGCATATCGGCATTTATCTCCGATCGCGCGATTGATATAGGGCGTCCATGCATGATGCTGACATATCTATGAAGTATTCGTTAGCTTCCCTCTAAACTGCCCTCTGATATATCTTACTTTTCAACAGTGTATGCTGTCCAAAACAACCGATTTCGGAGTTCGATAGTTCTAGAGTCACAGTTGCCTCCTTCATATTTGCGATGCATTCCATTTTGAATGGCCATCTTCATTGCAAGGCCGTAATAGGTGTATGCAAGGCCACCCGTGGAAACAGGCAGTGAATATGTGGCGAGAAGCAGGAAGACCTGCACACTTTCGTGGGAAGCAACCAAAAGAACATCTGGAATAAGCTTGCATGCGGCGTGATAGAAGCCTAGCCCGACTGAGTCCTCAGAGCACAAGTTGAGTTCTTCCGTGATCTCTGACTCGGGGTTTGGTTTTTCATCCTCCATATGGGCTAACTGAGTTCCAATAGCCAGAACGACAAAAACCGAGCATACCCAGGGAAAATCAATAGCCGTATATTTAGTTGTTGAGCTGTAACAGAGGACTACCTTCTCTTCAATCCATTTTCGCTCCATGTAAAAGGAGTTGATCTCAGCGTACTTGAAGAACATGTTGATGAGAAAGTCGGCAATGGGCCTCGGTGGCAAATGTATCATTGTCTCCACTATAACTTCGGGTGATGATTGAAGCTGGGTTGGTCTCCAGTATTCTTTGACCTGTTGTATATCGTCAGATATGCTTGACCCTTTGCGGGGAGAGATACAGACCCTCGAATCAAGCTGATCTATTTGGCAGCTCATTTTACGGCGTAATTTCTGGGAGAAGTTCCAATGTGAAAATTCCCCCGAGTAATGCGCCAGATTGTTTGACACAAAATGAACATCGAAAGACTCGTTGATATCCAGGGCAGTTTCCGGTAGGGTGGTGTTCGTCGAGCTTCGTAATTTGTCCGCAATACGACCTATATTCTCCTCGTCCAAAGGCACATCCCCAAGGAAATGGCGAGCAATATATTCAAGGCTTTGTATTCGCCGATTCTCGTCTCTCGGAACAGACGCGACGGGGAGGGAAGAGGAGCAAGGGGATGTCGTTGTTGGAATCGGCTGGCCTTGAAAATGGCATGGTCGTCCTAATCGCTGACATCTCCAGCAGGGTTGACCACCCTCGCACTTCTCCTTCTGCTTTCTGCATGTCTCGCAACTTTTTTCTTTGTTAATGAGAGGCGCGATATGAGGCCGAGCGGTAATGTACTTACGCTAGGGAGGCGCGTCTCCTCTCCCCGCGCTTACGCTTCGTCCCATGGTTTTGTTCTTGATCGAGGTTCATGGAAAGAGCAGGTAAATGCTAGGACAGTCTAGTGAAAGTCAAGAAGACAGCTCTGGAGAGACAGGGGAAATGTCAAGACCTCGCGAGAGCTGGTTCTTATCTCTTATCAGACACTATGCGGGGCCCACGGGTAAATTGAAGGCTCGGGACGTCTGTTTTCCCAACTGACAGTGAAATATGGACAATTGAACACCCTATCCATCGATTTGAGGGGACGAGTCTGGTCTCTTAGACCAACGCAATGGAACAATTTGAAAGAAGGGATCTGTTGCTATCGAAATGACGAGACCATCCGAAACAACCGAGAAGAGCACAGCCCATGAGCTACCTACCCTTATCCTCATTTCGGGGAATCGAAGGTAGATGAGCTCTCAAATTTGGTCACCAACAAGATAGGCAGCTAAGCCTAGTCAAAGCTATACCTGGACCAGATTGCAATGATCTAAATCTGAAATCAGCCTGAGTTGCATGTAGTTAGGAAGGCTAGGCTATATGGCCATATAGACGAGCTATTCCAAGTCCTGTCGCTGTCCTACTAATCAACCTCGCCATATTAATTTTATGATTGGCTGACAACGAGAGGTCCAATACATCGCATTATCCTTTCAATCCGGGGGGATGCGGGCTTTGTGCACTCTAAAGTCTATTTTGGCATGGGTTTGTTCCCCTTTCATCTCCAACCTCACATGTCTCAAAATCTTAGCACTTATTCGTCTAAACCTACCTTTTTGGATTAGGTCACTTACGGGTGTGTTTATTAACCTATACGTCTATCCGCCCATTTTGTCACACCATTATCCATAGCAACACCTGTGATTCACCATGGGCTGGCCGACTCTCTCGCTGAAAAATGGAAATTTTATTCCCATGCTAAGCCGCTACCCCTTTATTCGCGCGTCGGAATTCCCGTTTGACACCTTCGTCAAAGTTGGGATTTGGGACCAGGACTGCGTGGTACAAAGACGATCCCAATGCTCCCATCAACCCAGAGCTCATTGAAGTGCTCAAAACTACCGTTTTAAAAGGTTTCATTCATATCGATGCTGCAGATTCGTATGGAACTGAAAGAGAAGTTGAAATTACTATCAAAGAGAGTGGTATTCCAAGAGACAAGCTCTTCATTACCACCAAGGTCCTCAAAGGATGGAAGGATGCTCGAGTGGCGTTGAACGATAGCCTTCAACAGCTACAAGTTGACTATGTGGAAATGTACGAACCCTTATTGCGATAATCGCTTTTAGTGCTTGGGCTGACGGGTAGTAAATAGGTATCTTTTACATAATCCCTATGTTATCCCTACAACTGCAGAAATTCAGACCGCTTGGAAGGGACTCGAGACTCTCCATGCCGAAGGAAAGGCCCGGAATATTGGTGTATCCAACTTCCAGCGCAACCACCTTGAGGCCTTGCTGGAGGATTGCTCGGTTGTTCCAGCAATTAATCAGCTGGAATACCATCCATATTTGCAACGGGCTGATGATTATGTGCCTTGGATGCGTGAGCATGGCATTGAGATATCGTCTTTCAAGACTCTTGCACCGATCACTGTCGGTAAAGGTGGACCTCTAGACTTACCTCTATCGACCATCGCCGCTAAACACAACACCTCAACAAGTACGGTTGTTCCGAGGTGGGTGATTGACCAAAACGTTGTCGGAGGCACGCACCCTGGAGATCCTTATATCTTATCAGATATGTATAACGGTAGCCAATCAACTCGTAGGTGGAGTATATTAACCTTCAAAACTGCCCACCTCGAAGGCTATGATAGTTTATTATATACGGAGTACGTTGAGTAGAATTTAGACAAAATAGACAATGTTGTAGATAGATGGGTATAGCAAGTACAAAGTACCTAGGTAAATGGAGAAGAATTCAATATCTAATCCCCAGTCACTTGACATCCCAGCCAGAGCAAGAGCACCTTCCTTCCTTTGCCACCGAACTTTGTTTACTTTTTGTCTTCCCACTTTTCTGCTCTGCTGCTTGCCTTTTTCTCTCTTATGTTTCTCTTCTCTTCACACCACTGTCTCATTGTCTCATTCTTCACTCATTGCCACTCCACCTACACACGGCTTGGATGAGCCTCCACAAAGCATCCGCTTCATGTTAACTCGATTTGACTGATCCTCGACAGACAAGATGACAGCTGGGGCCTGTTACTGGAGTGGTCACAGCTCTTACTGCTGTCCTTGCCGTGGCCGAGGACAGCCCGATGTGGCTGAATCTTCATCGATCTCTTGCCTGGAGTGCGGACACCCACTCAGAAATCATTATAGAATTGGGCGTAAGCAATTTTTCCCCCTCTCTGTTGATTTGATTTTAACGCTATTTTAGCGCACCCAAGTGATCCCAGTGCCAGCCAGGTCTTCCTACCAAGACACCAAACCGTGAGAAAGCTTGCCAATCGCATCCATGAACAAAGAGTGGTCCTTGCTCGTGGGACCCCCTCTTCGGGAAAGACCTTTCTCGCCCGATCTCTTCACACCTACCTCCGTGGACAGGGAGTCAAGTCGATTTACATCAGAAACTTCCCCCTCAGTTTAGAGGGTGGTCCCTCCGCGTTGCATTACCTGCTCGAGGCCTGTCACATCCAAGGTTTTGCGGCACTTGGACACAGTTTTCTGCGCGACAATTTTGTATTTCTCATCGATGACGCACACACGACATACAACAATTCAGAGTTGTGGTTGATTCTGAATGCGATGAACCAAGATCACCTCGTGAATGTACCAGGGGCCAGTTTCTGTATGTTCAGTGCCTTCGGTACCCCGGATAGGGGTGTAATGCCACACAACATGGGGAGTGACTTGCTAGTATTCAATGAGCACCAACGTGTTTTCATGGTCGAGCGGTTTGCCGATGATATTTCACTCTTCTACACCACAGAAGAGGTCGATCTCTACATGGAAATGCATTTCCAAGCTCGAGGTTCCGATTACGAAATTTGCGATATCTTGAAAGATACAATCCATGGCCTAACTGGCGGCCAGCCTGAATTGATGGATGCATTCATGCATCTCTGCGACATGGTATGTGATCTTCAAGCATTTCTAGTATTTTCTATTGTATTAACATATTGCTAGTTGTATGAGGCCTTCTACAAGGATGACGAACTTGACATAATCAGCGAGGATGACAGCGAAATTACCCAGCTATTTGAAGTTCGTGGCATCCTGGAAGTAACAATCGCGGCAATTGTAAACTTCGCTGGTCTTCCGCTTTCGCCCGAGACCTTTTTCCCTCCTGAGCAGGAGTTTGAAGTTCTTCGCCAAGCTCAGCACGCCCGCGGCCAAGGCCTATTGTTCGACCCGCAAAGTGAGGCTATGCTATCATGCCTTACGAAAGGTTGGCTACACATGGAAGAGAACCGAGAAGGAGAATTCAGATGTTGCTTTCCAACCATGTTTCACAACAGGTACGAGACATGATATCTGCTCGATCTTGACAGGTATACTAATAATATACTAGGCTCGTGGAGTACCTCATGGGAGTCCAGGATCTCAGATATCCTACTCCTCCTACATTGAACAGAGGGGAACTTGAGTTAATGTTTCGCATGCGAAACATGACGATTTCTTAGAGGGATTCTGGTTCTTGTGAGTAATAAAACAGCGTTTGGTGGAAATTTGACTAATGGTGAACATTCGGCTTTTCTAGGTTCGTTAAACGATGTTCCTCAAGGGGCTGGTGAATTTCTTTGGGCAATGAATGACGAACGTGAATGCGACGGATAGCTGATCATGCTGCGTGGCCGGTCGATATCAATCTTCTACCATGCTATCATGTGTGCAATGTAATTTTATTTTGTGGGGTATTGTAATAATTCAACTTGATTTAAATTTGACCTGATTCCAATAGCTTCGGCGAGGGAATCACGCCGTTTGTTCCACAGAATACGAGATTATAACCTCGTTTTTAATCTGAATCTTCGAGTTGGACAATCCCAGATCATCTTTGCTACCCTTTCCACGTAAGAAGTTTAATGGCCAACCAGGGAAGCTGGTTAATTGAGCCTCATCGTCGTGAGACCCATATTCCTCATCTTCAGATGCATGTTGTCTCGAACGACGAGTCTGAGAACCCCCTGCACCATAATAATCTTCTTGTTTCTTGGAACTCTTCTTGAACCCCAAAATTGCCCACCAGCGACGAAACAAGGGTGAAAAGGTTGGTAGACAGGCGCATACAATTCCGATGAAAGGCTCGACGCAAGACCACATGAAAACGGGGGCAATTGTCCATGAGGGATCTTTAGAATGTGTATGTTTGTACAAGAAAACAACGCGAACGACACCGGCGATGCAGACGCTATAATAACTTTGATCAGCATAGTTACTCAAATCCCTGGGATCCCATGAAAGATTGACTTACAAACCACCGAGCAGCAAGATACTAGTAACTGCAACGCGCTGGGATTTGGGCATTTGCAATCTCCAGATGATAGGAAGTGGGACACACAGAATCATGACATCAATGAGGACAGCAGCAATACCATTGACAAAGAAAAATTGAGGGATATCAATACACATCCCATTGGCCGTGGGATCCGTGTATTGCTGCCAAAAATATGATGTGGGGCGACATGCGGCCGCAATAGTGACTATGGCAGCGACGAAATAGCCTAGGATGATGGCCATGGCGAAATATAACGACCAACGCAGATTAAAGATATGATGATAGAACATAACGATTGAGGATTTGGTCAGAGTGACCGTTGTCGAGTAGATAAAAACATGTGCGAAAAGGAGCTTCCAAAGAGAGACAAATTCGGAATCAGTGAGGGCTTGTTGGTGCCATCCATTTTTGTAGTTGATACCTTTATAGAGAAGGAGTCAGTTAGAAAGGTTGAGATGCTGGATATATCCTTGGCTTTACTTACTGATGATCACGCATATACCAGTCCCGTAGGCAAATAACTAGAAGATAGATAAGCCACCAGACCAATGGATAGTTATAGTTATCACTGTACACTCACCAAAGCAGCAAAGATCAAAAAGTCATCAAGACCGAAACTGGTTTGAGATGTCTTTGCGCGTGTATACACGCGTAAAAGAACGGCTAGGGTTCCAATAATCATCAGAGTAATGACTACACCCAGCATTTGGGTTTGCTGGTTCTCGGCAAGGTCAATGCCTGGAGGCACAGGCCCAAAATCCCCAGTGGTTTCCATGGACACAAACAAACCACATGAACCAAGTGTGGATTATGTGGATTGTAAGTCTCCAGGATTCCAGTGGAATATATTTGGATACTATTAGGGATATATTTACTATTTGAATACTATTTAAATATCCAAAATATTTAAAAAATATTGAAAAATATCTCAAAGATTTCTAAAAAATTTCAAATAGTATACATCCACATCGGGCTAGTCAGCTGTCAAAGAAAATGGTTCCAAGGTTGATTGTGGGGCTCAAGCGAAGTCTTCCGTCGCGAGATATCCCGAAGGTCAATCTATGGGCTCTCCAGGTCGAATTCTTGGTTTCTATGAAGTTCGTATAAAACATGAGACTTCCAAGGTTGACTCATATTGTAGGCACTAAGTGACATGACTAAGATATTAGAAGATGATAGAAAACTCAAAAGCTTCATGGGATCGAGGCACGGATGTGTAAAGGTTCCAAAGTTGTTCTGTGCGCAGTTTAAACCCCGATGCACATCAATGTGCAGAATTTTCACCCAATGAGAATAAAACCAAATAATAGTCGATCCATAGAATCTGACAGCCAGAGTGGGGGCCAAGTTCATCTATACCATCCATCAACGCCAGGTGGATCTCAAACCACCACTTTGCCGTAATCTCACACACTTGACAGGTGAGATTAAGTGAAACTAAAGCAGATGACATAGTACATTCCTCTTTAGGTTACTCTGAACACAATTCAGGTACATTTTCCCTGCTTCTCACTCATTGTTTGAAATGACAGGGATCCATTTTGTGGGGAGAGCCGCATTTTCCTGAGTCTAGATCCAACTTGTTGTCAATAGTATGGATGTTGGCGGAATATCATACGTTATTTTAAAATTACAAAAATAGGACCATGACGACCAGCAAACGATAGATCCAAATTCTATGCAGCACACTATTTTTCTATATTTTTCTATATTTTTCTATATTTTTCTATATTTTTCTATATTTTTCTATATTATTCTATCTAAACGAGACAGGCCAAACACTTTAGTCGAAATTTACCATACTGAAGTATATCAAGTTGCACAAATTTCCATCTTAGCTCTAGTCTTTTCCCCAGATCTCACACTCACCATCAACAATACCCACAGCCTCATAGCGATTCCAACATCCCTCGGCAATCCCTCGGCGGTGGAGTGCCATAGGTGGATCTCCCGCACATCGTACGTTCGATCTAGAGTTTGCTGTCGGAAATAACCTCAACGCGATGCGAACGAATGGCCTTTCCGCGCGGGGTTTCCGCTCTCTGGTATGGCACCACCGACCTCATCATGTGGGGATACAATCGATATGATGTCCAATATTCACGGTCATCTGCTATTATAACCATGTTCTAATTGTTTCCCAAGTGCTTGCTACATGAGTCGACTACTGAGGTGTCTTCAGAAGATAGCATCTCTCTTTCCTTAGATAGTTAGTCTAACCACCTAACCACCAATAAATGATCACGCGATCAGTGATATACGATTTGCTAGATTCTACTCTCCTTTCTGCCACTTTCATCAGTGCTCCACCCAGAGAAGCGTGCGCGTGCGGGTGGGTTCGGGGACTTTTTGACGAGGCATCTGATTTTTCTCCTTTTCCTGGGGATTAGTTACATGGTCTAGGCCTAGTCACTAATATCTCGCAGCCGCAGATATTCTCAAAAATGAAGTTCTTGCAATGTTCGAAGCGGGGTGCCGTCTTTACCCGCCAGGCTAACTGAGACACAATACTTCCAAGTGGAGACAGAGAAAACCGATAGTCCCCGACCAGTTCAAGAAGTAATCATGCCAAGCCCGATGGTGTTGGTGGGCTTGGCACGATTATGGGTAACCCCTTGTCGGTTGTTCCTGGAGGCTCAAAATGGTACGATTTTCGGGGAAGATGAGAATAGGGCAGCAAACCATGGGAGGTTTCCCCATTTACAGCAGGCAAGCGCGTGTGTCCAAAATTAAATATTTCCTTCTCTATCTTTGTCAGAGTATGGCTGACGTTAACAAGTTCTATTTGACGTAGGGTAGGGTTTGGTGTCTGCAACTATTACTTGTCTACTGCGAAACTTCGACTCGATTCAGTTCTATCCCAAATTATTTTTGATCGTATCTCGAGAATATGCCTTTAACCATTCTATACTACCCACCATCAGCCTGGACGAAGTGTAGTGAAGACATATTCCAAGCTGTCTGTTGGTCCTAGAAGAGCAAACCATGTCTTCATTTGAACACAAACATAAAATACTTACTATCAGTCATTACCGATAGCAGCACAAAAAACAAGATGAAATAATATTTAAGTTAGCAATAGATAGAAACTCATTTGAATAGTAGCCCAAGCCAAATTCGAGGCTTCCAATTCAATGAAAAAGGACGACTCAGGCAGCCCTAGAGGAATTGCTTGCCTACATACAGTTATCAGACCCGTAAATCTTTATGTACCCCTCTGAGCCCTTCTTTTGTTTCTTATCATCAAGTTATATGAAAGGCTTCATGGCAGCAGCAGTGGTCTTCATCTATATAATTGCATTCGAAGGCTTCAGTCCTCTAGGTTAGTTCTCTCGACGGGTATACCCCGCGATGACTCAGAAGGTTAGGGTTAAACCGGGTCTACGGTTAATATAAGCTTAAATGCCAAGAGCAATCAACTTCCTTTTCAAGGACTTAAATGTTCTTTTTCTTTCACTTCGTTTATACACCATCATCACACACCAGACTCCACATACATCTTGAAGCTCACAATTCAACACTACCCATTCACTCCTAGCATTCAGAAAACGCACTAGACTGCCATCAAAGATGGAACATACTCTAGCGCCAATACATGTCGATGGAGGCAGTCCCGCAACCTCACGAACTCACCTGTATGTACCGCACTCGTTACCATGAGAACTGGACTAACACATCCGCAGGCAACCGACCATCATCATCCTCGCCTCGACGACCCTCGTCTTTACAGGATGCGGAATAAACTTCGCGTTTGGTGTCTTCCAAGAGCTTTACGACTCTATGTCAAAGGAACCAAACACGCCGTTCACCGGCTCAACACCGGCGCAAATTGACCTGATCGGTACCCTCTCAATCGCACTGATGACAATCGGCGCTCCATTCGCAACAGCGTGGACAAAGCAATACCCCCCTCGATATGTCATCTGGGCTAGCGGAATAATTCACTCAAGCGCTTTGCTTTTTGCAAGCTTCAGTCAACACCTATGGCAATTCATCCTCACCCAAGGGGTTCTGCTCGGCATGGCCACATGTCTGACTTACATGCCCTCTGTAACCGTGGCACCGACCTGGTTCACACTGCACCGCGGACTAGCTATGGGGATAATCCTCGCAGGAACTGGGATTGGTGGTGTTGCATGGCCACTCGCTTTTAGGTACCTCATTGAGTCCGTCGGATTCCGCAACACACTCCGTGTCACTGCGGGGATCTCGTTCGTACTCATTTGTGGCTCGGGGACATTTATACGATGGCCTGCTAGCCAGATCACTCGCATTCAAGCCGAGAATGCCGCTTCTTCCCGTTCCTCGACCTTTTTTCGCCTTCCCTTGGTTGACTGGCGCGTCGTCCGAAGCCGCAAATTCGTCGCTCATGCTCTGGGTGCAGCCTTGCAGTCGGCTGCATACTATACGCCGGTGTTTTTTTTCGCGTCATTTGCACGTACACTAGGTTATTCACAAGCAACATCGGCAAACTTCATTGCTATCTCTAACGCTGCAAATGCGCTAGGCAAGGTCGTCATCGGTCACGCAGCTGACCGGATGGGGCGACTTAATACCCTGGTATTAACAACCCTCATTTCAGCGGTCTCTGTCCTAGCATTGTGGCTCCCCTCCTGTCTATCTGCCACGCAATCTACCGGAAGCACACTGTTCATCGCATTCACAATCTTCTATGGCATCTTTGCATCAGCATACGTTGCTCTCTTCCCGACGAGCCTGGTAGAGTTGTTCGGTGTGCAAAACTTTGTCAGTGTAAATGGCTTACTGTATATGGTGCGAGGCTTTGCGACATTAGTTGGAACCCCGGTTGCGGGTGCGCTCATCCGCGGAAACCACGAGAAGAGTGTTGGCCCACGAAGCTATGAGAATACCAGCATTATGGTCGGTGTATTGCTGGTTGTGGCGACATTGGCTGTGGTTTGGGCGCGACTTGAGGCTACCCTTACCATTGATGCTGCAGCGGGGCGTAGAATGAAGTGGTTGATGTGAATGTTCTTCATGCGCAGAGATTGAAGGAAACATGTACCTCACAATGGCATGTACTGTACATTTGCAACATTTATCATTATCAAGCAATTCAATCTATTCATTTCTCCCCTCGGGTTGATCAAAACCGACAGTTCATCCACGATCTAACGGATATAGCAGGTGGAGTTGGGAATACACCGATCAATGCCTCGTAAATTCCTCGTATATCTCTCGGCGTGAATAACCCAGAATCATAGAAAGCCTTCAATGCATCCGCCTGTGCATCGTGCATGAGCATGTTGATTATGCGATCCTACTTAGGGCCCGTAAACCCAACCTTCCTAATTGCAGCTCGCACACGGTTTATACCATTCTTTCTTCTACCTTAGACCCATAGCCCATCGGTGGGCCCACAACCCAACCCATTTGCGGGTTGGGCCCGGGTTGGGCTTTGGGATTTGTGGGCCATGCGGGGGTCTACCCCTTAGCCTGGGGTCCAGTACCAGCTCCTTCTTTTCCCCTCCTTTGATGCCCAATACATCATACATAATATGCATTGTGCTATCCTTCTTTTGATATTTAGCCCTATATAATGGCCCTATCATGGTCCTGTTTAGAGGTGTCATGTAACTACTCCTGCTTGACCAGAGGTATTTAGTTAGCATGTATGAAAGGGGTCTCGGTGGCTGTCCCATTATCTGAACGATTGGAGTCACAATTTTGCTGTCGATGGTTGCATTAAATCCGGGCTCGTAGATTGTATTTATCTAAGTTCAATTGGGGGGATGAACAGACCTCGGCCCTAGAGCTGTTAGTAGTAAGCGGTACATACCTGACAGGGATATCTGCAAGAGAACCCGTGGTAGTCAAAAGGGGGGTTCTCCGATGCTCCGATTCCTCCGATTCTTCCGCTGCATCGAGGAAAGGATATAAGGCGACCGAACTCTACATTCCAAATTTAGGATTCACCATCCTCTCTTTTGTATCTGGAATTCTGATTCAATGGTTCCCCCGCTCCGTCTCCCGCGCCGTGCTCCGGTCGCGCCTGTGAATGTGTCGAGAACAAGCTCCACGGGACCGACATTGCCCTCACAGACAAGTATAAACAAAACATCTCGCCCGGCATGTTCCCCCGGGCTTTCTAGTTGTTCATCCCGGAACATCCCTTCGCCCCAAATTCGAGCCCAAATCGCACCCATGTCTACAATGCAAGCAACTCATGGCCACAACCAGGCCTGCTGCAATATCCCACCTGTTATCTCATCGGGCTATGTTCCCAAGGGCTTCTATGAGGATCTCGGTGGAATGAAAACCTGTACATGCTGACGGTTCCTCCAACCCGTTTGTAACATTAGGCTAACGAGGACCCAACGCAGATGTGACCGGGCCGGAGGAAGCCACCAGAGGAATTGTCGCTGTTTTCGACATCTTTGGCTACTTTGATCAGACTCTCCAGGGTGCCGATTTCCTGGCAACCAGTGACCAACACCAGAAGTACAAGGTGTTCATGCCTGACTGGTTCAATGGCAGCCCGTGCCCTGCGGAATGGTAAATCTGGCTACACCACTCAATGGGACGACCACTCACAAAGCCGGAAATAGGTACCCTCCAAACACTGAGCAGAAACAGAAGCAATTGGGGGAGTGGTTTGGTAGAAACATGCCACATGGTCCTGCAGCTGCACTGCCTGGTTATATTGCCGCCCTTAAGGCTGCGAATCCCTCTATCAACTCATGGGGACTTATCGGGGTAAGTTAGCTGCTTAAAGAATACGTCATGCTTTGCCAGTTTATCAAGACTAATTAGAACATATAGTACTGCTGGGGAGGTAAAGTGACCGAGATCGTGACTGCTAGCGAGGACAACCCGTTCAAGATTGCTGCCGCCTGTCACCCGGCCATGGTTGATCCCTCCGGCGCGGAGAAGATCCCAGTGCCATATATTCTACTGGCATCCGGGGAGGAATCCGCTAAAGATGTGCAGAAATTTGAAAAGAACCTGAAAGTACCCAATCATGTGGAGATCTTTGGAGATCAAGTCCACGGTTGGATGGCTGCGCGTGCTGATCTATCTGATCCCCATGTACAAGAGGAGTATATCCGGGGCTATAAGACTGTGCTGGAATTCTTTGGCAAGCACTGGGATTAGGTTAGATCGGGTTTTAGGTGTCTACACCTTTTTCTAAGATTGCTTGCGTAGCCAGGTTCAGAGATTGAATCTCTCGGCTCTTTTAAGACATCATCTGACACTATTGCCATCACTTCAACTTAGGAAATAAGGCCAGGCTTGATATAAATACAACTCCTAGGTGTAGCATCTAACCAAAGGTTTAGACGGTATCTCATCTAGACGAATCGAACCTCAAAGGCTCTCTGTTTGCGACCAGCTTCAAGGAACAGATGGCACTTGCGTAATCATTCTCACGGCAAGGTGTGAAATTATATAAAGTGAGATATTAGCTGTCAGTTTCTGCATCGTTGCGCTGCCATTCAACCCCATTTAGAGCCTGAGATATTGCCCTGTGGGCTTTCAGAGGGAAGTGGATACATCTCTCCTCATTGACCTCTTCACCTGCGAATTATGAGCACGCAATGGGTAATAATCCGGAGGCGATATTGATTCACTGTGACCTTGGCATCTCACGCTCGCCAACCATCATCATCGCCTATCTTACGCGCAAACTGCGCATCCCGCGAATGGAGACGTTGGAATTTGTTAAATCAAAACAAACAACACCAAGAGTCAGACCAAGCCGAAATTTCACTCGTCAACTTCAAGTCTGGGAGGAAGTTGGATATAAAATATGGGAGAAGGAAGAGAAAACCGTCCCAAAGCCGGCATAGAGAGCGTTTCTGGACGATCAGGCAGCCCTCTTGAAAGGGACTCACCCGGGCATGAGCCACTTGCGCCCCTAAGCTTTCTTGATTAGAATGTCTTCACATTTCTTTCTCATATCGCAGCATATTCTCATAGCCTTCCAAGGTTCTGCTTCTACATCTCACCAACATCTAGAGAGATCGAATTACCAGGGAAATCCTACATAAACGCATACACCGAAATATACATCTTCCAGTCCAAGTAGAAGGCATATATTTCTAGTACACATATGCTGGGGCTCACTCTAAACCGAAAATAAATCCCAACGTCAGTCGTAAATCGTAACCCACATGGCCTCTCATAGCCCAGGAGTCTGTGCCCCCTCCCCGATCCCCATCAACCCGCCAGCGAGCCCGTTCATCCGACGATCCAGTAAATCCTCTTCACTATCAAGAGAAACAATGCTCCGTCCTCTCGGACGGACTACACCCGGGCTTTCTGGAGCACTATTTGTCTCATCAGGATCGAAAGGATCAGAACGACCCGCTCTCTCTAAGCATCGAAGCTTAGCGAGGAAATCCTCCTTAGCATTGCGGTCATCTCCCAACGATGTAAACCCAGTGACTCGCGAGGAAGCAAAAGAGGAACGTAATCTTCTTCGACGCGTGCGGTTCTCAGATTTGGATGCAAGTGCATCCTCGCTACCAGCAGCGGACGTGATTTTGCTCATGCTCATTTCCAATGGTCTGTCATCATCACCGGAGGACTCGCCAGTGAACTTGCGATGGTGATTACGTTTCTTGGTTGCAGCGTTTGCTTGAATGTTTGCAGGGCCGGACAATTTGAGGGAAGTATTGGCATTCAAAGTGTTCATACCCCGATCTGGGTAAAGTAAATCCGCCTCGGAGTTGTCCGTCTTGATTTTCTGGGACAGATTCTCCAACCAATCCGCGCTACGGTGGATATACTTCCACGCATCGGGGAAGAAGCCAGCCATCTGCATGAATCCGTGGGAAATACCAGGGATGAGGGAGACCTCAACATGGTTTCTCTCGTTGAAGGCGCGGTTGGCCCTCTCCAACCCCAGGTCCTGGCGCTCACGGAACTGATGTAGCTTCGCTTGACGCAGTCTTCCTGCAAATACTACCGTGTCGTCAACCAGAGGGTCACGCTCTCCGGTCATGATGTATGTTTTCGGAAAGCGGGCAAGTAATGCATCTGGGGCCAGGACGGGAGACAGGAAGAAATCGGTGTTGAAGTCAGGACGATGGTGGGGTCCAATATATAGAATGATCATCGCCCGCGTCATTTCAGGTGTGAGGATGCGGTCGTGGACGTAGGTGATCATGGACGAGACGGCTAGTCGGGTCTTGATTGGTGTGACTTTGTCTTCTGCTTTAGCAACAGGCTTTGGGGCTATATCCTCATTCTTCTGGAGTTTCTTCTCCAACGACCTGGCCGCTTGATTGACCACATTGGTATCTTTGTTATCATTTTCCTTCTCGGGTGGCGAGATGGCAGTTAGGTCCTCTACCGAGCCACCTGGTGATGTGAATGGTGTGAGTTTACGATATTGATCCTGTTTCCGTTGCAGAACACTCCGGTTTGTCTGACGGGTGCTCTTCTCCTGGATCAATGACATCTGCTCATCGCTCATCCAACTCTCGACCCTCATGTTCAACGCGGGGTATCCCAAAACCACACCATCCGGGGCCGGGAGCACATCCTCTCCACGCCAGCCTTCAGACATTGCAGACTGCAACACCATTAAGGTCATGCCCACTGCCAGGTTGCCACCGGCACTCTCGCCAGTGACAAGAATCCGAGGACGGGTCTTACCACTCAAACCCATGCAACGACCGTTTGTAGCAATGATGCTGTGATATACATCGTAGCATTCATGCAGCGCATACGGGTACGCAAATTCCGGTGCCTTCTTGTAATCAATGCTGAGGATAGGAACCTTGAGTCGTCCTGCCCAAGACAACAGCTTGTCCTCTGAGTTTCTAGGACTCATAGCCACAAATCCACCACCGGGTACATCCAGCACGATAAGACTCTGATCTCGGAGTGCACTTAACGGACCGTCGAAATACAGCCACGCATGCACTGGGTCAGTGTAAACAGACTGCGCCGGGCGAGGAATGCGGATCGCTCGAGCTGGGAATTGGGTCATTCGCGGCCGTACCAGCTTTGCCAATGACCACAGGTAGGGACTGGTGGCTTTGTTCCAAGACACACGCAGGTGCTCCAGTGTCAAGGTAGCACGGACCCGGCGAACCTTCTCGTCCGCCTGTTCGGCAGCAATCAGATAGTAAGCTGTGAAGACTAATGACGCTATATCTCGTAGCCATTTTGGCTTTATGTTCATCGCGGTCCAAAATCCAGCATCCAAACCCGTGGTAATCCATGTTGCTCGAAAGAATGACCGCGAATACATATTTGCCAATGGTTCAGGGCATTCGAGCCCGACGATCTTGGCGAAGTTTCGGCTGAGGTAGAGCCAGAGGAATATGATAACTGTTGTCTGCCATGTTGTCAACTTTCCCGTGAAGCGGGATGAGAGGGATCGAATAAACGGTGGGCCATGTTTATCTGCTCTGTTGGATGTTCAGCGGTTGGAACTTCTCGGACCGATTTGACTTTGATATGCCGTACCTTAATAAGTAAACTGACCAGAAGGAGACAACTGCAAATACTTGGATCTTGCGGAAGCGGGTTGAAGGTCTCCCCAAGACATGGTCTTAACATTGATTAGCTTGGTGAGTTGCAAGCGGGAGTTGTGTTGCAAACCTATCATTTCTCAAATTTAGGGTTGAGTCTAGTCAGTCTAACCAGTTCAGCCTGTGATATGCAGTCTATGTGAAGGCAGGATAAGAACGCATGAAGGGTCGAGTCTAAAGAATAATCATAGTCAAGCAGAACCAAATACTAGAGACAAAGAGACAATTTTAGACAAGAGTCAGCCACAATTATCCAGAACATAATGCCGTCAATCAGAATCGTAGTTCATATAATGCAACCTTGTCATTGGAGAACAGCCCTGGGGGAAGGGTGAATCACATGTCAACGAAGTCCCACATTCACATGCCAGTGACGACATCAGCTGACAACCCCAGGCCGGGGTTGATTTCAGTTGTGTATTTTATGTTTTTATGAAGTATCTATGGGATATATGGATATATGGATATATACCTAGGTATGCGCATCGCAGATCTCCAACTCTGTTCTAGGTCTTTTGCCGGCAATAATCACGTCCATGTCCAACCTGCCAACTGCACAACCAGACCTCCCACCCCATGCTGAGGAAGCCCGCAATACAGATACCGCCCGAGTCACTGACAGTGGTAGCGCCTAATGAGAATTCACGGTCTTCCTTAGGAACACGATCGGCAATCTCAGCAAAGGTATTGACATATACCACTCCACCGAGGAGGCCCTCCCAGAAAACAACGATGAACACAAGCCATACACTGGGAATAAAATCGAACATGGCATGGAGGGTCAGCAACGCAAGGTTGGCCACCTGCAGGAGCGATGGCAGGTACAGATTGTGAATGCGGTAGAACGGGGTCGAAGAGCGGGAAATGAAGACGCCAATCTGATAGATGGCATTGTAGGTCGGGTAGAACGAGCGGAAGTGCTCGAAGGGCGATTCACTCAGGGGGAAAAGTAGAGTGGGAGCTACACCTTGGTTAATCACATACTCGGCGATGTACACCAGTAGCATTGGGACCATACTATATATCTGTCAGCCTAGATTTGGGAGAATCGAAAGAGTCGGATACTTACAAAGGAATGAATAGTCCCTTGATTCGATGCAGATTGATGCGAGCCTGGTCCTGCCAGGAACTACCTCCGTTGACATGGGTAGACTTATGGGCCGGGGCATTGTGCGACACTCCCAAGAGCCCCTCGTGTTCTCCACCGGCGCCTTCATCTATTTCATCTTCCTCAATTTGGCCACCACCCTCAACGACGCGATATCTATCAGCGTCGGATTCAGCAGATCTCAGAGGTGACATAGGTAGCACGACAAAGAAGCTCAGAACCATAATGGCCGGTAAGCAAGCCGAAACCAATAACGTGAGATGAACGGATAAGCCCAGTGCCGAAGTTGCGAGGGCATAAGCACCAGCTCCGATCAGCCCAGCGGCGCCAGTACCACTCCCCCACGCAGCCAGACTGAACGGGCCATAGAAGTGTGTGAGACCCACAAAGCTCAGCTCCCCAGCACCGGAAGAAAAGCTAGCCAGGATGATTCCTGCGATCTTGGATGATATCGATCCCCCATCGGTATAACCTGGACTCATGGCGACGACCAGCATGCCAACAGATGACAGGAAAACGAAGACGAGGATACGCATCCAATATGGGACCAGGTGGATGAAGTACGGGGCGACAAGTTTGGTCGCGAATGACGGGACCACGTCCGCGAGGAGAACGACGCCTTTGGGTACATCAGGTCCGACTAGATCTACAGCTGCCGAGAGGATGATCACATATAAGACATTGTTGATAAGGCCTGCCGGGTATGGGTGTTAGCTAATTTTGATCAACTGGGCTGGTTGAGGGTGTGCACCGAAAAGCCAGAAAGCGACACAGACTCGAGGGTCTGCGCCGCTAAAGGCACCACTAACACGGGCGCCGAATCGTTTCCAGATGGAAGAAGGTTGTTCTTGAGAGGCACGCGTTGCGGCATCCTCATCGGATGCTGTGAGAGGCATTCGGTTGTTGCGTTGGGGTCTGATAAGAAGCTACACCAAAGATACAAAAGATATTCAGTCCATAATTTTTTCTAATTGAATAATATTCAGGAGAAACAGACAAGAGAGGATACGGGGGCACATCGAATCAAGCGCGAAGAGTGACGACTCCTTATCTCCGCGCGATCCACCGCCTTCCGCCCTACACGTGGCTTAGAGTGATCTTGTCCACAAAAAAACAAGGGACACACGACACTTTTCCTTTATTGCTCTAGTTTCTATGATGAGAATATGTCTTGTCATATCCAACGCAATACAAGATGGTATAAAGGGAAAACAAAATCATAACCGGCATTCAGGACAAGACACTTATGACTTGGCCACGACCGAATCCACAGCCTGCTCCAAAATCCGCAGACCAGTCTGAATCTGGTCTTCGGTGATCGTCAGGGCAGGGACGAATCGGATGCAACCCTCACCAGCAGTGATGATCAACATGCCGCGCTCACGGGCAGCAGTAATAATATCACCAGCCTTAGCGGTGTACTCCGGGGCGAGCTGAAGACCCAGGATCAGGCCGCGCCCGCGGATCTCGGAGATCACACCTGGGAACTTCTTCTGCATGGCCTGGAAGCCCGAAACAAAGAGATCGGACTTGACCTGGACGGACTGCTGGAGCTCTGGCTCAGCGAGACGCTCGACGATGTGGTGAGCGACACGGCAAGCCAATGGGTTACCGCCGAAGGTGGTGCCGTGGTCACCGGTCTTGATGTGCTGGCCAACCGTCTTGCCAGAAACAATGGTGGCACCAATAGGAATACCGTTACCAAGAGCCTTGGCGGTAGTCAGGATATCAGGGTGGGCAGCCTCGCCAGAAGCTGGGGCGAGAGAGGGGTGAGCGTGGGCCCAGAAAGTACCGGTACGGGACAGACCGCATTGGATCTCGTCGAAGATCAAGACGGCACCGGTCTCGTCACAGCGCTTGCGGAGAGCGGCAAGGAACTCGGGAGTAGCGATGTTGACACCGCCCTCGCCTTGAATAGGCTCAACAATGACACCGCAGGTCTTATCCGTGATCAGAGTCTGCAGCTGGTCGATCTGGTTGTAATCTCCATACTTGAATCCGGGGATCATTGGCGAGAACGGAGTCTGGTACTTGGGGTTGGGGGTGGCCGAGAGGGCGCCCATTGTGCGGCCGTGGAACGAGTTCTTGAAGGAAACGAACTCGTGCTTATCACCTGAGGGGTCCAGAGTGCGGCCAGTCTTGCGAGCGAACTTGATAGCGGCCTCGTTGGCCTCGGTTCCAGAGTTAGAGATGAAGACCTGCGAGGCATCGCGCATGGCACCGGACTTCTGAGTCAAATCAATCAACAATTTACTCAGAGCACCGGTCCAAGGGTTGTGATAGAGGTTTGAAGCGTGGATGAGGGTTTCAGCCTATAATCAAGAGCCTGTTGTTAGCAATTGATCCCTATCCAATCCATAAGTGTATGTCGCACCTGCTCCGCAATAATTTTTGCGATCTCCGGGTCACAGTGACCAAGAGAGTTAACTGCAATTCCCGCAGTCAAGTCCAGATAACGTCGGTTCTCCATATCCCACAAGTAGCAACCCTGTCCCTTCATCATCATCGGGGCCGGGCGAACATAGGTCGGGACCATGAAAGGAGCCCGCTCATTAATGAAGGACGCTGTGACTGAGTCCGCCGAAGGGTCGGGGTTGGGCAGTGTTGACTCCTATGCGATTGTTAGTTCTCACATTGAACACTGTCCTGGAAAATTTGTGTCACGCCTACCTTGACCTGGGACTTCGCATTTTGAGGGGCATTGGATGTAGTCGCGAATCGGCGCTGTACTGGTGACTCGAGAGCAGAGACGAATTTGGATGCGCGAGGCAGACGGCGCGCGGCCATACGGAGGGCAGACATGGTGAATTTTTTATTTATAAAAATAAGAGGGGTTTAAAGACAAAAGGCTAATCTGCAGCAAAACAGAGACGGGGATTGTAAAAAAAGCGACTGATCGGATCAGCGAACTACCGGGAGAAATAAAAAAGGCGATATCGGGATCGGCAGTCTTAGTCACATCAGTGGAGTGAGTCAACAACCGGGCGAGGTCCCGAGATCTCCCCGTACATCGTTCAACTACCTCATTGGACATATCATTCCCTCATACGCAAACACAATGGTGTACTCTCTCGTTATTCGCCGTTCAATCCTCTCGGCTGCCACAGCCCGCGGTGCAATCCGGCCACTATCCACAACTCGGTTCCTGCGCCAGAGCGACGACAAGCCCATGCCCTTCTCAGACTCCCCGGCTCCCCCGCGCCTTCCCAAGGAAGAACAGGAGATATTTGAACAGCTCCAAAAGCGCTCAACTGGAGCATTCAGCACACCTCAGGTCAATCAGTCCCCACAAGCCGAGATTCAAGCGGATGGCAAAGGTGGCGAGCTTCACCCCGATGCGCCCAAGGGCCTGAAGCCTGAGTTTGAGGGCGAGAAGAACCCGAAGACTGGAGAAGTTGGTGGGCCAAAGAACGAGCCTTTGCGATGGGGCGCAGCTGGCGATTGGAGCTATGGTGGTCGCGTCACTGATTTCTAAGGGACCTCGGCTTGACCAGAGATATTTGCATCATGTTGGCGTTGGTGTTTCATGCCTAAGGATATAATGTCTTCATATCTGAAAATGGAGAAGTGGGTGTTTGGTTCTGATTGACTACATCTACAGTGTACATAACAAAATGGCCTGGGCTGACAATGCAAAGCATATTTACGTGTGGTGCTGCCAAATATGTGAACCCGTTGGGAACTAATAAACACTCCGAACAATGGCAATCACAGGCCATAACGCGAATTGATCAAAGAGACGCTTTTTCTTCCGCAAGACGGGCGAGAGTCGCCTTTCCAGCCCGGCTCCCATTAGCTCGGCCCAACTCCCCACTAATCCAATCTCCAATCTTCGACATCTCATCCAGACTGATCCCTGTGTGCATCCCCAGGCTGTGAATAGTGTGCACGATGTCCTCTGTCGCCACATTCCCTGTCGCACCCTTGGAATACGGGCAACCACCAAGCCCACCCACGCTGCTATCGAAAATACGGACACCATGCTCCAGGCCGACAATTGTGTTCACCAAGGCCTGTCCATAGGTATCATGGAAGTGCAAAGCCAGGTCTGTATTAGCGATGCCAGCAGCATGAAGCGCTTGCAGAAGCTCCATGGTCCGGGGTGCGGTGCCCATACCCGTTGTGTCCGCCACTGAGACCTCATCCGCCCCCATCTCCAGCAGCGTGGCAGTAATATCAGCCACCTTGGCGGGATCCACATCGGGGCCTTCGTAGGGGCATCCTAGTGCAACAGAGACATATCCGCGTACCCGGATATTCTTGGTCTTTGCTAATGAAACAATCGGCTTGATGCGCTCGAGTGACTCGGCAATGGAGCAGTTGGTGTTGGCTTTCGAGAAAGCTTCCGTTGCTGCTGCAAAAAGAGACACCTCCGTAGTTGTCGCTACCTTTGATGTCTCTCCAGTCGCGTCCGCATGGACTCCTGTGTTATCAAGGATCTTGACTAAGCTCTCTAGTCCTCTGATGTTGGGGACAAGATAGTTGTATGCGATTGTAGATTGCGCTTGTGGTGGTTTTGTGAGAAGATGCTCGCAGATCTCAGCTGTGCTTTCCATCTGTCATAATGTAACCAAATCGTCAGTTTCCTGTGCCTGAAATCGCCGTACTGTATTGCATGATGACGCTTGACAACATCATACCTGGGGTACCCATTTTGCGGGCACAAATGAGCCAGCTTCAATGGTCGTAACACCCGTCTTAGCCAGTCGCTCAATCAACTCAAGCTTTGTTTTCATTGAAATGGATTTCTTCTCATTTTGCAGTCCATCTCGAGCGCCAACCTCCACGATGCGGACATGGTCCGAGGTTAACCGCGACTCGGTCGCGAAGCGGCGTGCAGAATATGGAGACCTTAGGGCAGAGAACAGACTCAATCTGGGGCGAGCTGTTATCATTTTAAGGTTATGCCAATTTGTATTATCAGAGCAACCAGAATTGTAAAGGAAATAGCAGGTAAGAGAGTTAGCTTTGAGAATGGAGGATGAGGAGTAGGCCGAGAATGCGGAGAGCGCTTTCCCTCTTCCGGACTAGTTGATCACCCCACCTCTTGCTGAGTCAGTCGGCCGCAAAGTGGACGGTCCTCCAGGCATGTACAACATAACATACCTTGGTATCTACATATATGTAGGTAGTTATGGATAACTAGTCAGCGGCCCTAAAGGGCATACATGATTTATATGGCTTCAATTTTTCATCTACCTATATAGTGAATTTTCTCTGCCACTTCTTGGCATTCTCTTTCGAGAAAATGAAATGTCACTTCAACTTTGGCGGGCCGGAGAATGCTCCAGACCAAGGTCAGTTTGTGACAAAGTTTTCAGAACGGAACAATATTATTATGAGTTCTATCCACTAACTGAATTATTCCTTTGGTTGCTCTGGCGTCATCCAGTACGTCCCATGCTTTTCCTATGTCCCGTGCAAAAGTAATGTCCATGTATTGAGCGTCCCGATAGCAGTGCCGTCCACTCCTATTCAATGACAGATAACACCACCACCCAGCATTCTAGAGTCTCACTGATTACAGTCATATCGAGCACAATTTATCTCAAGATGACCCTCGACTCGTCCAAACCAAAATTGTGCTGATAGACTTAATATACACTTATTGCACCACGTTAGGGAATGAAAACGTTTTGATTGTTGAATAGAAGTTGGCCAAAAAGTTAATCTGCACTATAAAAATTTAGACCGTTTTGAGATGTTTAAGTTAACGTTGCTAACTACTATCTAGTTTTCTTTGCTATTGACATGCTTCTCTACAGTCTGTTTCGCAGTATTACATCTTGTATACTACAGGTATCTTTATCTTTAGACTCGGCTTTTACATGAATTAAATGTCATTCTTTTTTTCTAGTCCTTTTGTCTGCATGGCGCGCCTGAGAAGGATCTGCAT